GCAATAAAGTGCACTACACTCCAATTGATGGCGTAATGTGAAAGGAATCGGAAAAAAATCTAACACTCGTGAAACCGATCAGTAATTGACAAACTAGACAAATCGATCATAACCTATACTGATATGAGCAATGTTCCATCGACTCGAAACGGCGAGTAGAGGTCAGTGAACACGATCAAACTACGACCGAAACATCATCAACAACCAAACTAGACAGTCTTCGGAGGTGGATAGTATTTCCCTGCCTCCGCACTGACAGCTGTCAACTCGGCTCCAAAACGGAACTTGAGGGGTATGGAGCAGGCATCTGCAGCTGATGACTCGAGACATTGGAAATGCAGATGGGGCTCTGAGGAGACATAACAACATTCAGGAGAGAGAAGTCTACATTATCACCAACAGTAGTAGCATAGGCAGACACTCAGACACACTAGCATGATAACACTACGCCAGTTATGAGTTTACGGTCTTCACTCGCAGCAGGAGTATTGGAGTTGGAATTCTCTTGACCATTTCAACTCTACTACGGGGCGTGTTAGAGCCTTCTCACCTGGTGTGAATCCCACATCCCCTGACTTAGCGATGATTTGACCCTCTACGACCAAGTCGTCGACTTTAACAGTGATCCCATCGGGGGATAGGTGAACGTAGTCGAAACATAGGCTGAGAAGTGGAACTGCTGCTATGTAATTGCGAACTCTCACTGCGCTAAGTGGAATCACATTGCTACTATAATATAATGAAATGCAGTACTCGTTCAGTACACGTGCAAGTAGCAGATCTATACTCACACACAGGGAGACACATTAGCTGCTGACTCAGAAGAACAGTGTAGAAGGAGCCTACCTCTTGTTGGAGGATTGAATGGTGATCGAATTCCATTTGTATAAGTTATCGACGTCGATGCCTCCACACGTGTTGGTGCTCCGCACATCAATAACACGGCCATCGCACACTGATCGCACCGGTGTACCTACTCGACATGAATGAGACGGATTCGTAGTGGACTATATCTCACCTATCTCACACCTGAAATCGAGAGCATAGTCGGTGCCTGCGTGCGCGAAGTGCGTAAGGCTTCCCCCGGCCGCTTGGGTGCATAGGAAGGGCTCTTCTCCTTTCAATGGGAATGTTTTGAGCTCTATAACTGCATCCTCGTTGAATTCATCCGCCGCTCGGGGTTTGAAAACTTGTATGTCGGAATGTATCACAACATCTGAACAATGAAGTGCCTGTGCAAGAATCTGCCTCCCCCCGCGGCTCGCCGCCGATACGCTAATGCCCAACAAGAGGTAAGACTACGCAAACGGACGATAACGGTCGATGAACAAGAGATGAAAAGTTCTGACAGTGTTCACATGAACAGGAGGTCAACAAGCCTTTCTCAGCTCTGGTGGCTCAATCGAATAGAGCGTTGGACTTCTAATCCAAAGGTTGCGGGTTCAAGTCCCGCCCAGAGTATATAACTCTGGTTAACTTTTCCCCATCCAAAGTAAAACTATGTGAGCGGAAGGCAGTGTTCACATGAACAGGAGGTCAACAAGTCTTTCTCAGCTCTGGTGGCTCAATCGGATAGAGCGTTGGACTTCTAATCCAAAGGTTGCGGGTTCAAGTCCCGCCCAGAGTATATAACTCTGGTTAACTTTTCCCTATACGAGGTAAAACTATGTGAACGGAAGGCAGTGTTCACATGAACAGGAGGTCAACAAGCCTTTCTCAGCTCTGGTGGCTCAATCGGATAGAGCGTTGGACTTCTAATCCAAAGGTTGCGGGTTCAAGTCCCGCCCAGAGTATATAATCTGGTTAACTTTTCCCTATACGAGGTAAAACTATGTGAACGGAAGGCAGTGTTCACATGAACAGGAGGTCAACAAGCCTTTCTCAGCTCTGGTGGCTCAATCGGATAGAGCGTTGGACTTCTAATCCAAAGGTTGCGGGTTCAAGTCCCGCCCAGAGTATATAACTCTGGTTAACTTTTCCCTATACGACGTAAAACTATGTGAACGGAAGGCAGTGTTCACATGAACAGGAGGTCAACAAGCCTTTCTCAGCTCTGGTGGCTCAATCGGATAGAGCGTTGGACTTCTAATCCAAAGGTTGCGGGTTCAAGTCCCGCCCAGAGTATATAACTCTGGTTAACTTTTCCCTATACGAGGTAAAACTATGTGAACGGAAGGCAGTGTTCACATGAACAGGAGGTCAACAAGCCTTTCTCAGCTCTGGTGGCTCAATCGAATAGAGCGTTGGACTTCTAATCCAAAGGTTGCGGGTTCAAGTCCCGCCCAGAGTATATAACTCTGGTTAACTTTTCCCCATCCAAGGTAAAACTATGTGAGCGGAAGGCAGTGTTCACATGAACAGGAGATCAACAAGTCTTTCTCAGCTCTGGTGGCTCAATCGGATAGAGCGTTGGACTTCTAATCCAAAGGTTGCGGGTTCAAGTCCCGCCCAGAGTATATAACTCTGGTTAACTTTTCCCTATACGAGGTAAAACTATGTGAACGGAAGGCAGTGTTCACATGAACAGGAGGTCAACAAGCCTTTCTCAGCTCTGGTGGCTCAATCGGATAGAGCGTTGGACTTCTAATCCAAAGGTTGCGGGTTCAAGTCCCGCCCAGAGTATATAATCTGGTTAACTTTTCCCTATACGAGATAAAACTATGTGAACGGAAGGCAGTGTTCACATGAACAGGAGGTCAACAAGCCTTTCTCAGTTCTGGTGGCTCAATCGGATAGAGCGTTGGACTTCTAATCCAAAGGTTGCGGGTTCAAGTCCCGCCCAGAGTATATAATCTGGTTAACTTTTCCCTATACGAGGTAAAACTATGTGAACGGAAGGCAGTGTTCACATGAACAGGAGGTCAACAAGCCTT